GCTGACATGGAGGGCCTTGTTTAGAAACAGGCCTTCCTCCCTTTTGCTTGCGATAGGGGAGGGTCAGTGAGATGGTGTCAAGCACCATTGTGGTACTTGTGTTGGGTCCAAGGTTTATAAACAATGTTATCAGTACAGTTGCCAATATTGTTGGATTGTTGGGGTGTTAGGATAAGGATATGGGTATTGGCACAGTCTGGCGCCACCATTATGCTAGTTGTGTGTCAGATTATAGCCTGTTTATTGGTTATTTTATTGAGGTTGTTTTATAAGAGGCCCACCATCTTGCCTCGCCGGAAGTCCAGAAAATAATTTTTAAAAACTGTCTATCATCCAGCACTGCCATTTTTAAAAACTGCCATCATCCAGCACTGGGGGCGGGGGGGGGGGATCTTAACTATATATCAGAATCAGTCTTCTCTAGTCTACAGTCTCACTGTACTACATACGGAAAATGACCATGGCTGACACTGATAAGTTAGTATCTGACATAACTTGCGAGTGTGACAAAAAGGAATTAGTTCTGTGATGGACTGCATATGTATTCTGATCTTAAACATACCTTCTAACCCATTCATGGCATGTGTGCAGTAGACATAAATATATTGTGACATTTAAAATGTGATATGAAAGCATATGGAGACACTCTTACCAAGTACAATGGAGTTATGTGTTTTATATCATTCTGCCTTGAGACAGCTGGAGTAAGCTTGGAAGAGGGGGCTGAAACTATAAACACGATTAGGATTTTTTGTTCATCTCTTCTGATTATTGCCAATTTTATTCTTTGAAAAGGACAGTAGCCTGTAGTTCCTGAATACTGCTATCTAGAGGAGTCTTTTCATGCTTCTTTCCCCTACCACCCAATCAGCAGATGTCATTAACTGAAAGTAGATAGCCATAAATGCCCTTCTCAAAGGAAAAAACTTCTCCATACTAGCTGACTGTAATGAAGCCTTTAACATTAAAGCACATCACCTGTTCTAATGATATCCATTTGATACTCCATTTTTTTAAAAAAAACATTGATTCATAAGGAAATGCCTGATATTAAATCCTGATGGTTGTGTGCAAAGTAGTGGCATGAAGTAGCACAAAGTATTCAGATTAAAACAAGCAAACAAGGAAAGCAAAAAGTGAGCAATACAGAAAACTTTTGTAAAATAGGGGGCTTTAGAATACTTTGTCCAATGATCTGCATTTTTATAAAATCATGGCAAAGTGTTGCTTGGGTGGTGGGTGGGTAAAGGACCTCCGGACGGTTAAGCCCAGTCAAAGGCGACTATGGGGTTGCGGGGCTCATCTAGCTTTCAGGCTGAGGGAGCCGGCATTTGTCCACAGACAGCTTTCTGGGTCATATGGCCAGCATGACTAAACTGCTTCTGGCACAATGGAACACCGTGACAGAAACCAGAGCACATGGAAAATGCTGTTTACCTCCCCGCCACAGCGGTACCTATTTATCTACTTGCACTGGCATACTTTTGAACTGCTAGGTTGGCAGGAGCTGGAACAGAGCAACAGGAGCTCACCCTGTCATGGGGATTCAAACTGCTGACCTTCTGATTGGCAAGTCCAAGAGGCTCAGTGGTTTAGACCACAGCGCCACCCGCATCCCAGAATTGGGTGGTGGGATGGTATAGGGAATGCTGTTGCAGGAGCATAGGAAGAGGAAAAAGAGTGTCAAGGTCCTATGTAGGTGTGGGACACATACAGTGGAGTGGCTCATGCTTTGCTTCAGTCTTTACCTCCTCTGGTTTTTTTAATTATTATTAAAATAACTCCTTGATCTATATTAATCAATAGTGGGTTTCCTATGCATGTTGCCTTTATGGACTGCCTTTATGGGAAGCAACAGCTCGTGGACCCCTTTTTAGGCCCGGTGCTGTGGGTTAAACCACAGACCCTAGGACTTGCAAATCAGAAGGTTGGCGGTTCGAATCCCCGTGACGGGGTGAGCTCCCGTTGCTCGGTCCCTGCTCCTGCCAACCTAACAGTTTGAAAGCACGTCAAAGTGCAAGTAGATAAATAGGTACCGCTCTGGCGAGAAGGTAAACAGCGTTTCTGTGCGCTGCTCTGGTTCACCAGAAGCGGCTTAGTCATGCTGGCCACATGACCCGGAAGCTGTATGCTGGCTCCCTCGGCCAATAAAGCGAGATGAGCGCCGCAACCTCAGAGTCGGCCACGACTGGACTCAATGGTCAGGGGTCCCTTTACCTTTACCAGCAACTTGACCATCTCTTTCGACATGCTGCACAGTCCTATGCATTTGGTGTTCAGTGGGGGAAACTCCCTGGTGTGTTGAGCACTGCAGTTAGAATCACAATCCTCACCATTTTCAGAGCAGATTCTATATTTAGTGGATTCTTTTGAGTCCTGTTTTCAAAAGGGTGTGGGCAAGGGAAATGGCAACCGTGGGAGACCTACCAGGTTAGTTTCACTGGGTCTTTCTAAGGGGGGAGAAAAACTGCTGCTGGCTTTTGTTGTTGCTTAAACGTGTTGTTAGATTTAGGGAATCTGAAGAGTGAGATATACCATATGTTTGGATAATTAAATGTTCACAACATATAACTGAGGCAGTAGAACGTACACAGAAACTTTGCCACATCAGAAATCAATGTAGAAAACAGGCCCGAGATCCTTGCAGACAAAATAAAGACTGACAACTCACAATTAGTCTCTAAGTTAGCATTGCTGCTGCCTTGGCCCCCCTTCTATTTCCTAACCCATGGGAAAGGAGGGCCTAAACTTCATGAGTCAAACTTAGTCTCACTTAATATAGACAATGGTAGTACTGTAGCAGGTCAAGAATTTCCACATTGACAGTGAGGATACACTGCAGCACTTCAGTGCCCCTCAGGGGCGCCCATCAACTCTGGGGGCCCCAGTCCCCTCAAATATTTTATTGGGGGGCAAAGACTCCTCAGCCCCTAGGAGCTGACCCCTATGGTGTCCCTTCAGTCTTCCAAAATAAAGAGGGTCAGACACTTCTGTACAAACTTTGAGAGCAAGTCCTACTGAACTCAGTGAGAATTGCTTCCGAGTAAACGTGCAAAGGTTTGGGCAGTTGGTATTCTTCCCACTTGACATCATGCCTGCCCCACTGCTGATATGACATCCTCAGAGACAAAGCAAGGGATCCCTTAGTACCCAATCATGTCATCAATTCACAACCTTGACAGCAAATGGAAGAGTGAAGGGTGGTTGGCACGTGTGCACTGCTCCCATATCAAACCCTTTAATGGCCACTTAAAGCAACTTCCTTGAGTTGGTAATGAAAAGAAAGGAAGATGATGATGGGGGTGGGTGGGAAACCCTCCTGGTCCGACTCATCTAAAAGACCCAGGGAGAGGCGCCCCCTCCCCCCCCCCCCCGTTCCAGTAATTAGCAGCGTCCCTCACTTTGCAAGCTGCTTGCAGCAAGCATGGCAATATCTTTTGTGACATACTCGGATTTCAAAGACCGTCCTCAGAACCAGCTGCAGCTCACGAAATCAGGCAACTTTTTCTGCAGAAGATATAATGCCAAGCCTTTTGAAATGAAAGCTGGGGCTGGACTAGTAGAGATTAATGTAGCGGGTGGGGGGGGGGATGCTTCTTGTTTGATAAGCCACAGATGTCTGCATGATTTGTTGAGATGGTTGACAGTTGCTGATGGCTTGCAGCTTGGGATTTACCCCTCACCCAGAAAGTGATCAGTTCAGGTTTACCAATGGACGATGTATGTTGCTGACATCCAGTAAATCATGGGCTGACTGGCAGGATAAGGGGCATTTTATCGGCTGCAGCAAGGGAGCATAAGAGTGGTGTCTAAGTACTCAGGTTCCCTCCTGGATATGTAGTATTTTATGAAATAAATGAGATATATTTGCATGGTCTTTAAAACAGCTTCATAGGATGCTGAAGGCTGGGTGCACACTTGGTTGGAAACTCATACTCCCAAGTATTAATGAATATGTAATCCAGGGGATTACATATGTCACTAAGAGTGCAATCCTAAGCACACTAGGTAAAGAATAAGACCCACTGAACTCAGCACACTTTAATTCTGAATAAGCATGCAGAAGATGGTGCTGTTAGGGACTTAATTAAGTCTCTCTCTAAGTTTATAATCATATACTATAATATCTGTTGTGCTTGGTACATAGCTAAAAATGAAATAAACTTTGGGATTGAAACGTTGGGTTAATTAGTTAATCCTGAAAGTATTATTAATCAGATGCAGCTCAAGGAGAGGGGACCATTATAGCCATACTGTAATGCCCTTCCCATTTTAATTCTAATTACTTTTTCTTTACAATCTGATATGATTCACTCTCAACTTGAACACAATAAATTTTATTGGGATCCATCAGTTCACCCATTTGTCTGAGAATCATCAAGTGCTGATTGATCACTGGATGAGAGAACAAGTGATAGACATGCAACCTGTGGGTCAGCGCCCAGGGCTGGGTTCAGCATCTAGGTTCCCCTGTCAGGGGCGCTTCCCAGCCAAAGGAATGCACACGGCACATAATGTCAGAGATAACACAGTCATTTCTACAACTCTGGATACCTATGCACACCAATTTAGCATCTAGGCAGCTGTTCTCAAATCCGCGCTCTATGGAGCAGTTGCCATAACAGGGGACCACCCAACCTTCCCCCCGTTTATGTATCTTCTCCCGACAGGCTGCACACATGTAGTCAGCAACTATGCCTGTGTGGAAGCTTCCTCTGCTCTTCCTGATTCAATTCTGTCCTGATTCTGGGGGAAAGCAGTGCGAGACAGAGTGGGGAAGCACACAACCCTTCACTTGCCTGACCTGCCTCTTCCTACTCTCCCTCCAGCTCTGGAGCTTCCCCTGATTTTTGCTTCCTGGCTGGTCCAGGTCCCCACAGCTCTCTGCCTGATTCTCCCAAGTTAGACTCCAGTCCCCCTCCAAACTAAACATGCACACTGTAAAAAAGTTAACAAACATGAAAAGAGATTGGTGTTTTACTGTTTATAAGTGGTTTATAAATGCTTCTGAATACAATTTTGTTGTTTAGTTGTTTAGTCGTGTCTGACTCTTCGTGACCCCATGGACCAGAGCACGCCAGGCACTCCTGTCTTCCACTGTCTCCCGCAGTTTGGTCAAACTCATGTTGGTAGCTTCGAGAACACTATCCAACCATCTCGTCTTCTGTCGTCCCCTTCTCCTTGTGCCCTCCATCTTTCCCAACATCAGGGTCTTTTCCAGGGAGTCTTCTCTTCTCGTGAGGTGGCCAAAGTATTGGGGCCTCAGCTTCACGATCTGTCCTTCCAGTGAGCACTCAGGGCTGATTTCCTTCAGAATGGATACGTTTGATCTTCTTGCAGTCCATGGGACTCTCAAGAGTCTCCTCCAGCACCATAATTCAAAAGCATCAATTATTTGGCGATCAGCCTTCTTTATGGTCCAGCTCTCACTTCCATACATTGCTACTGGGAAAACCATGGCTTTTACTATACAGACCTTTGTCGGCAAGGTGATGTCTCTGTTTTTTAAGATGCTGTCTAGGTTTGTCATTGCTTTTCTCTCAAGAAGCAGGCGTCTTTTGATTTCGTGACTGCTGTCACCATCTGCAGTGATCATGGAGCCCAAGAAAGTAAAATCTCTCACTGCCTCCATTTCTTTCCCTTCTATTTGCCAGGAGGTGATGGGACCAGAGGCCATGATCTTAGTGTGTTTTTTTTATGTTGAGCTTCAGACCATATTTTGCTCTCTCCTCTTTCACCCTCAATAAAATGTTCTTTAATTCCTCCTCACTTTCTGCCATCAAGGTTGTGTCATCTGCATATCTGAGGTTGTTGATATTTCTTCCCTCAATCTTAATTCCGTCTTGGGATTCATCCAGCCCAGCCTTTCGCATGATGAATTCTGCATATAAGTTAAATAAGCAGGGAGACAAGATACAGGCTTGTCGTACTCCTTTCCCAATTTTGAACCAATCAGTTGTTCCATATCCAGTTCTAACTGTAGCTTCATGTCCCACATAGAGATTTGTCAGGAGACAATACGATTTTCTTTTAAAAAAATCCCTAAGTTCAAAAGTATCCACCTCCTCACAATGTCTAGATTCCTGGCACAAAGAAAACTGACCTCACTTCATTGATGCCATCAGTGAGGAGGGGTCCTTTGCACATTCTACACCAGTGGCCTTCAACTGGTAGAGATCTGAGACCCACCTTTGACTGGCAAACTGCGATGTGGGACCCATTTTTACATTTGATTTATGCTTAATAGTGCTAATACAGTGGTACCTCTGGTTAATTCGTTCCGGAGGTCTGTTCTTAACCTGAAACTGTTCTTAACCTGAAGCACCGCTTTAGCTAATGGGGCCTCCCGCTGCTGCCGCACCGCTGCCACGCAATTTCTGTTGTCATCCTGAAGCAAAGTTCTTAACCTGAGGTATTATTTCTGGGTTAGCGGAGTCTGTAACCTGAAGCGTATGTAACCCGAGGTACCACTGTAATGCACTTTAATCCTAAATAGTAGCTTTCAGAGCAATATACACAGTGTTACCTCAGCATTACCACTAAATGAAAACTAGTCCTGCAATGTGACAGGAGAAAGACAAGAGCATCTGGCTGGCCAAAAATATGTATCTCATTTTAAAATATGGCTCCCGTCTTTCTCCTGCAGCACTTGTGGACATTGATAAAATGAGCATCTTCTCAGAAGAACACATCCTAGTCTGGACATGCATGCAGTACTCTTTTGGTCTCGCCAGCTTTGTTGTGACCCACCTAGTATGACCTCGCAATTCACCTGTGCGCCCTGACCCACTGGCTGAAGAAATATATTCTACACAATGCGTGAGAGTGTTTCAACATAAATTTTCAAGAGGTGATGCAGCCTTGAGTTTGGATGTGTTGCAAATACTTCAGACAACTGGTAGCAAACAGTAAATTTATATTCCAACCAGCAGATGGCTGCAAAGAGGCTCCTGTAGCTCCTTTTGGTCTCTGCAGCTTTCAGCCAATAGGAAGCTCAAGCAAGACTCCATCTGCTAGTGTGGCTCACACACCTTTCATCCTAGTAGTAATTTCAGCCAGGAAGGAAATGCACACTCATCAATTATTTTAGTTAACAGGAACTACAGCATGGGATCTTCACTGGTAAACAGGTCTCCGTTTCAAGCATTCAGCATAGTACTACTGAAGTTCAATTTTTACAAAACCAGCTGGAACTAGGGCTGTGTACACATTACCATTTACTCTGGCTCCAGTACATTTCTGCCACTGGCTTTTAAATCTGTGTACACACAAATTTACCCAGGATGCAAGGATCCTGTGGTTCCTTGAGAAATTTGTTGTTGTTGTTTAGTCGTTTAGTCGTGTCCGACTCTTCATCGGCAGTGATCATGGAGCCCAAGAAAGTAAAATCTCTCACTGCCTCCATTTCTTCCCCTTCTATTTGGCAGGAATACTGCTGTTCAATGCTTTCCCCCCTCAAAGCAGCTCCAATCTGATAGCTAACTAATATGTTTCTTGCATTTATATACTACCCAATTAACCATGTCCTCTATGCCTTTCACAAATTTAAAAATCAATAGGATACAAATGTAGCAAACTAAAACATTCAATTTAAAAGCTATACCAGCACAAAAAGTAGTGTAAAACCATACAAAGTCACATACGATCACTAACAATAATTAAAAGATCAAAGCACACTTGCTGGTCAAAATAAAAGGCTGCAGAACTATGAAGCCAACATACCTGGGCACAAGCAGTTAGTCCAAGGAGCCAGGACAACAACAAAATCTGACAAGAGTATTTTATTTTATTTTTTTATATTTAGCTGAATTGGTACCTATGTTCATGAGTCAGACAAATGCACTAGAGCTAAAGTTCTGCTTTGAACAAACCTTAAGGTGTCTGGTTTGTGGTGTTTTTCCAGATTGCTAATTGTAGTATATTCGTCCCCACCCCCCCGCTAGTCTTTGAGAAATAGATTGCATATAATGTGGGATTGTCTGCATAATCAATTGCAGGGGAAAGGACTTGTAACATTTTCCTTTTTAAAAACACACACACCCAACCAACACCTAAACCTGAACGTCTAAAATGTCAGCAGTAACAATGTTATATAAAACCAAAGCAGTTAAAAAAATGAATCAGGCAAAAATGTAATTTATGCCTGTGTAATTAGCACAGCTTTAATACTGAAATGTACACCACGTAGAGAAATAAAGCTACGGGGGCCCTTTCACACCTGCAGAGCATATGGAATTCCAAACAATTAAAAGCAACGAGTAGCTGAAAGCAAACAAAACCGTGGTCCATTTGTGTAGCAAAAACCATAGACGGATGGAAACAAATTGGTACAAAGCATATTTAGTCAAAAGTTGCTCATTGGACAGAATTCTCAATCCCTAAATTAATTTTGCTGGGGGAAATAATATCATTCTCCAAGTATATATTAGATAATTCAGATGTGAGGCAAAACTCTGCAGCTTTGGATATATATGGATATATATATATATATCCATATGTATATCCATATATATATATATATATATTAAAAACAGTGCTAACTCTAGAATTTAAGGGCTTTGGGGAGTTGGGCACAGCATCCTCAGTGGGGATGCAGGGCATGCAAGCAGATTTCTGTTATGCTGTACCTGATCTTCTTAAATACTTTTTTTCCAAAGTGGAAACTGCACCACAATGTACCAAGAAATGGTGGACAATATAGCCAACACAATTCTAAAGATTTGTTTTAAGATAATTCAAAAGGTATCAGACAAGTAGAGAGTCACACTGGAGCTTCAAATGCAAAGATAACAGTTCGTAGTCAGTATGTGGTTGGATCGCCATCTGGTATTCTGAACCTCTGGCATACCTGGTGGCAAGTCCCCACTGGTGTATACAGTCCCTCAAAAAACACAGTACCATAGAGTTCCTGGAAAATCCAAGCCAAGGTCTATCCACTTGGGAAATGGAAAAGACACAGCACCTCAGCTCTGCTTCCCTTTTATACCTGGCGTGTTGATTGCAGCATCTGGGCATGATGAGGAATGTGACCCCCCACCTGTTCTGAGCCTGCTCCAGCTGAGGAATCACACACTTCCTCCCCAAGCTAATGAGCCCCACCTGGCCAGAATGTACCTCTCTCTGCTCCCTATGCCTCAGAGCTCACTGTGTTTGTGGAGGGGGCCCCTCTGGCTCTGGTGATTGGTCCTGCTCCTCTGGTTCCTGGGCACTGACATCCGTCCTCTCACTATCCTCTGCTGTCTGGTGGGTACATTCTATGCCCCTAATCTCTCTTCCTCCACCCCCAGCTTGCCCTGGTGTGTGCCAGTCGTAGCTACACCCCTCGCAGGAATCCTCTTTCTCCTCCCCTTGTGGGAATGTTAAGGATACTAGGGAAGGATATATTGAATAAGTATTATCCTTCCCTCACTCATGCTAGTGAGTGATGTAGCAGAGCAGATTCCCCTCAATATAACTGGAAGCTAGTTTGCAGATTCGTTTGAATCTCTTAGTTTAGATTATTTCCTGGTGTCTCCTTTGATCGCCCTTAAAAGAATAAAGACACAAGAGTCTTTCTGAGTAAAGTAACAAAAAGTTTGCTCACATTTCAGTTCATGATTTGATCCCTGAAAGGCAGACTTTACTTGGGAGTTACACAAAGAAACTGTGAGTTCATCTCATATGGAGACCGAACTTGTGTGCTGCTGGCTGAGACCCAGCAGACAGCAAAATTACAATAGAACAAAATGGCTGCAGGAGAGCAGCATGGCAGCAAAAGAGAGAACAAGACAAAACTGCAAGTGAAGAAAATGGCTGTGTGACTCAGCTTTTTTAAGGAGTCAGCCAGGGCCACGCCCATCTCCCAGATCACATGCAGGGGGAGGAACCTCCAGACCAGTGGAACAGGAAGTTACACTGACATGGATGTCCCCCTGCCTGTGCCTACTCTAGGGAAATAAGGAATGTTGCATTTGACTGCACCAATGGATTACATCTCACACTCCTGGTCCTGCCAGTTCGTGACATCTGTTTGCAAGTGGAGGGACCGTTAAAAGGACCCTGGATGGCTTGATTAAGAAAGGTCTCTGTCTGAGATACTGGAGAGTTTCTGCCAGTTGGATATAAGAGAGTTTGTGTACTGGTCCAGTAAACGCTTCCGCTGCGCCACCAGCAACAGCTCTCTTTGCAGAGTATTAATTAAGTCCAGTGCAGAGATTCTTGTTGCAGTACAAGCTTCAGAGTCTCAGCAGCAAAGAAATAACGACACAGGGAAGCCTGTCTTTCCAAAGACAGGTTTATTGCAGAAAGATAACAGAAATACCTCCGGAGCTTTCAGACATTTTTGCTTCACACCCCACAGGCAGAGAAAACAAACACACTTTATATACTGAGCAACTTAACAACTTAACGAGCTTGACTACTTAAAGTCACATGACATTGCTAACTTGCCAGCGTCTTAGGTTTCACACCCTAACACCCCCTCTCGCTGGCAATACAAAAAAAACCAAAATTACTTCAGACCCATTTCTTCACAAAAGTTTTCATGCCGCTGAAACCCAAGTGGTTTTGTAAAACCATCAGCTTGATTTTCATGACTGGGACAGTAATTTAATTTAACAATTCCTGCTTTTACCGTTTGACAAACATTTTGAAAGCGGATATCCAAATGTTTTGTACGACCTTTAAACTGCCCATTTTGTGCTAACTTAAGACACGGTTGATTATCACCCCACACAGTGATTGGAGTGATGGCCTTTTCATACATCTCTTGTGCCAAGCATTTGTAAAATTCTAGATCTCTACATAACTCAGATAAGGCACAGAACTCAGCTTCTGTTGACGACAAAGCAATTAGGTTCTGTTTCTTGGATCTCCACCCAATCAGAGAGTTACCAAATTTTATTACACAGCCAGACACTGATTTTCTATCCTTTAAATTTGCCCAATCACTATCTGCCCAACAAGTAATCTGTGCTTGTCCTTCCGAAAACAATTCAAGGCAAAAATCTTTGGTGTATTGTAAATATCTTAACACTCTTTGAATTCCTTTCCATGCATTTACACTAGGTTTCGAAACTTCTCTGCTGAGTAAGTTAACAGCGTAAGCAATATCTGGTCTACTCCATTGCGAAAGATGAAGTAAGCTTCCCAGTGCTGACTGAAAGATTTCAGCACGCTTGAATTCAGCACTATCCTTGAACTCATTGTCTTTTACAAAACCCATTTCCATTGGTGTTCTAACACCTGCACACTCCGTCATGTTAAACTTTTTCAACATTTGCAATATCTTGCCTTTTTGATTCAGTAGAAAACTGCCATTTTTGGTCCTATCTATCTGAACACCAAGATAGACCTTCACATCACCAAGATTCTTAACTTTGAAGTGTTTATTTAACTCTTTGGCTAGTTTTTTACTTGTTCTTGTGTCTTTGAAGTATAAATCAGGTCATCTACATAAACAAGCAAAGATTCTTGAGCATCTCCTGAACTTCTGAAATATAAGCAATTGTCAGCCTTGCTCCTGCTAAAACCAATGCCTACCAAAACGTCATTCAAACATTCATTCCAATTATGAGCAGATTGCTTGAGTCCATAAATAGATTTATGTAGTTTCCATACCTGATTTGATTTACCAACTTTCAATCCTGGCGGTAGCTCCATATAGAGCTCTTCAGCCAAGTCTGAATGAAGATAAGCTGTAGAGACATCAAATTGATTCACTTTGAACCCTTTCTGAGCAGCAACTGCTAATAGTGCCCGTAGGGTTTCACTCCTTGAAGTGGGTGCATAGACTTCGGAATAATGTAACCCCTTTCTTTGCGTAAAACCTCGAGCTACAAGCCTTGCTTTGTACTCTGGTTTCCCCATCGCTGTTGTCTTTATCCTGTACACCCACCTACAACTTACTGCTTTGGTACCTTCTGGCAGTTTGGTGATGGAAAACACACCCAGTTCTTTCATAGAATTCAACTCCTTTTGCATGGCCTCACGCCACCTATTGGCCTCCTCCTGGGGTAATTGTTCAACCTCCTCAAAACTTTCAGGTTCGCAATTTGCCAAACCAGCCCAAACACTAATAGCTTGGTACCTTTCAGGAGGTTTACCTTTGTTGGTACGCGTAGAACGCCTTAACAGTTCCTGCGATGTTCCTTCAGTTTCCCCCTCTGACCCAGAATCACTAGTCGTCACCTGTTTGTCACTAGTAGTTGTAGAACTTTCTGATTCTGACTTTACACGTCTCTCTTGCTGTACAGGTGAACTTTTAGAACTAGAAGATTCTGACTTTACAGACTTGGGTGAACTAGGCGATTTCTCACCCTTATCCTCAGACTCAAATTCCTCAGTCTGTTCTGGAACTAATACCTGCCCTGGGGCCTGAGTTTCATTGCTGTTCACCACATCAAATAGTATGTCAGGATTTCCATGAATTTTATTCCAACCATCCTGTTCACAAAATTCTGCACTTCTGCTGATTGTGATTTTCGTTTGATTGCCTTCTACATTCACAAATCTCCAACCTTTTGTGTTTGCTTGATAACCACAGAAAAACATTTCTTTAGACCTAGGATCGCCTTTCCTACGTTGTGCCCTAGGCACCAGCACATAAGCACGACATCCAAAAACTCTTAGATGATCAATTTTGGTTTTTCCCAAATAGCATGAAGTAAGGAGTGTTGCCTACTGTGCTATTGTACACTCTGTTAAAAGTATAATTCGCATACAGTGCAGCCTCAGCCCCAAAACGCTGTGGAAGTCCAGAATCAAACAGCAAAGCAGCAATGGCTTCCTGTAATGTTCGAAATTTTCTTTCAGCAACTGCATTCTCCTGTGGTGAATAGGGATTGGTAAGTCTATGAACTATACCTTTCCTTTTTAACCACGTCTCCAGCGTGTGGTTCACATATTCCCCACCACGATCTGATTGTATTTTACGTACCCTGGTGTCAAATTTACATTCGACTTCTTCAATCCAATCCATCAGGATGGAAGCTGCTTGTGTTTTTTCTTTCAGAAAGAAAACCCAACTAGCCCTTGAAAAATCATCCACCAAAATTTGCATAAATCTCGCACCTCCAAGCGATTTGACTGGCATAGGGCCACACACGTCTGTGTGCACAAGTTCAAAGGGTTTCTTGCTTACTCTATCAGATCTAGGATAGTTACATGTCTTAACCTTAGCATGTTTACAAGCACAACAATCCAGAAAATTTGGACAGGGTTTAATGTTACACTCCTCAGCTAAATCTGGCATCTTGCTTACATACTTAAAGCATATATGAGCTAACCTTCTGTGTAGTAGATGTGCACAACCTGTATGAGGAGCCTTATTTACACACTTAGCTTGCGCTTCACCTGTTGAACATCTACCTGCTGCTAACTGCTCTTCATCCAAAACAAAAGCCCATCCTCACAGGGAATTTTAACTAGCTCCTTCCCCTGTTTCGAAATGGTGCACACATCATTTTCAAACTCAACCTTAAAACCACTTTTTACCAGGCATGACACACTCAAAAGTCCATTCTTCATTCCTGGAAGAACAAAAACAGGAAGGTTAGTTTGCAAACAGTTAACATAAATTGTGCCTTTAAGGTTCATTTCTCGTTTACTATTGTCTGCTATAGTCACGGTTTTTGCAACTGGCAATGTCTTGCAGTTCATCAAGCGGCCACTAGATGTCGCTGGAACTAAACTGTGACTTGCTCCACTGTCAATTATCCACTTCAAGGTTTGTTGGCTCCTTTTAGGACTCTTTTGTGCTGCCATTGCAGATAGTCCCTTATCAGCACCTGCTCCCCCTCTGGATCGTTGATTCTTGTAGTTCTCACGTCGTCTTCCCCTGTAGCTCCGAAACTGGCCCTGGACTGTTGAAATTCCTGTTGCTTTTCTGGACACTTTGCTATCAAATGAAACCTGCTGCCACATCGAAAACATGACTTGCTGGCCATAGCAGACACTTGTGAGGCTTCCTTACAGCTCTGCCTGCTAGTTTCCCCACGCTGGGAATTATCTGAACACCCAACCCTTGGGGTATTTGAATTATCAATACGTTTTCGATGATGTTGATATTCTTGCTCACACAATCTACCAGTCACATAATTCATATTCAGCTGGTCCTCTGGCAAAACCTGTAAAGTTAGTACTAAGTTTTCAAACCCTGCATGCAGGCTGCTAAGCAGAGTATAAACTTTAATATTTTCAGGAAAATTCACACCTAAAGATGACAGTCGGTTGAAATACTCAGTCATCTGTGACGTGTGTTCAACCACACTATCCCCTGGCTTCAGTTTCAACTCATACAAAGCACGTATAATGTTCACCTTCTCTCCGGGCGTGGCTCTATGGTGAATTCGCCTAAGAGCTTCCCAAATTTCAAATGCAGACCTTAAATTTTCCACATGAGGTAATTGGGAATCGTCTATCGATACCATCAACATGCATCTAGCTTTAGTGTCCATTTTATCATGTTCCCTATTCTGAGCATGTGCAGCGGCCTGTTGCTCTGCTGTGGCATCTGCTGCAACAGCCACAAACGGCTTTCGCCTCTGGACATAGTCAGCCCACACTTCTTTGGCTTCCAACCAGACTTGAGCCCTCTTAGACCACTGCACGTAATTTGCAGAGTTCAACTTTGTAAAGGGAACCTGGAAATTTTCCACTGCCATTCTTGGGGTCTGCTGCTACTCCCTCTGTGTGCCCTTTCTTCTTTTTCCCCTTGGGATTTGTTTTACTCACTTTTCAGACGCCTCCAGCCTCCTCTGAAGCCTTTAAGAGCTGGATTTACGACCAAGCCGGTCTTCTCTCATCCAGCTGCTTTCACTTTCTCTGCACACAATACAGCTGTAGAAACGTAGAAGGATCCATAACCTAAGAGAGTTTGTGTACTGGTCCAGTAAACGCTTCCGCTGCGCCACCAGCAACAGCTCTCTTTGCAGAGTATTAATTAAGTCCAGTGCAGAGATTCTTGTTGCAGTACAAGCTTCAGAGTCTCAGCAGCAAAGAAATAACGACACAGGGAAGCCTGTCTTTCCAAAGACAGGTTTATTGCAGAAAGATAACAGAAATACCTCCGGAGCTTTCAGACATTTTTGCTTCACACCCCACAGGCAGAGAAAACAAACACACTTTATATACTGAGCAACTTAACAACTTAACGAGCTTGACTACTTAAAGTCACATGACATTGCTAACTTGCCAGCGTCTTAGGTTTCACACCCTAACAGGATAGACAATATTAAGATAGACAGAGTGGTGTGCAGCCTTCTCTATATGGGTTTGTGCTTCTTCTTAAAAAGCACATCGATAGTTTCCTCCTGGATTTACTGCTGGAGGCCCAGCTATATGAACAATGATAATCTGGGTCTAGTAATCTATGCTCTGGTAACATCAATACTGAATTACTGTAAAGTGCTTCACATGGGACTGCCTTTGAAGACTGTCCAGAAACAGCAACTAGTGCAGAATACATCCATTGGGTTGCTGGCACACTTGAGGCAAACTGTTTATATAACACTGATTTTAGCACAGCTGCACTGGCTGCCTATACTTTTCCAATCCCTGGATGACAACAAGGGAGAGGTCTGCCTGGTGTCATCATTAACACCTTTGCATTGTCTGGTAAAAACTAATCTTTTCTCACAGGCATTTGGCAGATTATGAAAATTTTGTATTGATGGTACATTTTTGTTAATGAAATTTTTGCTTCTGTTTTATTGGGTCTGTTCTATGCTTTGTTTTATTTTAATTGAATAGCATTGTTTTTTCTGATTTTATTTTATGCTCTCAAATATAGTGTGAGTTGCTTAGAGACTTTATATAGCAACGGACTAAACATTTTAAATAGTAGTAGTAGTAGTATAGTAGTAATAGACTACTTGTCTGATTTGGTTTAAAAAAGCTTCATATATCTTAATTCAGTGGTTTTCGATGGGTGTGGTGTGCCATCCTGGTGTGGCAAGAGAGGATGGCAAATGTGGAAAGATTCAATAACAATTTTTTAAAAAATTGAGTAGTATGCAGTAACAGTGTTAACTGCATTCACGGGATTTCCAACTCTGACAAATATGAAAGATCAGAAAAGTGAAAGGCTAGTTTGTGTTAATGAGGAGATGAGTTTGTCTCAAATTAGACCTAGTATTAATGAGATCACCTGGCAAAAGCAAGCTCACACCTCTCACTGAGTTTGTATGCATATTTAAGAGGCTTGTTTATAATTATATTTTGGGAGTGATTTGTGTTCTTATGTAATTGCACTGTTTTATACATTCTGGATGTCTCAGGATCATATTATAAAGTAGTTGTGTTCTGTTACAAATCAAACACTGCTAGGAGATGTTTCTCTTTGTTTTCCAAAGTATTTGATCAATAAAAATTTTGGTGTGGTGTGAGCAAATTTTTATTCTGAAAGTATGGCCCAGAGGGGGAAAAAATTGAGAACCACTGTCTTAACTGAATCTTTTGTGATAGAAAAAACTGTAAATCAATTCAAAGCATAAGCAAACTGGACATTACAAAATATCTTCTAAACCACACTCTAACTCTATCTTACAAACATTACAGGTGAACACAAAAACAAGTATTATCACTATGTATACTTTAGGATTTTCATCAAAACCGAAATGAAGACTGCAAATATAAAGTGAGATCATTTTGGCAGCAATTGTGCTAAATAGGGATTTTCCAAGCTTGGCTGCTAACCCGAGATTCCTTGCTCAGGATCACATTGCTAGTAGATTACAAAATTGGCTGCAGAATAGAAGCCCAGCTCAAATGACAGATTTGCCCAACCTGTGCTGTGTTAAAGGAAACTCAGCCATGTTTTGTAAACCAGAGCTAATATTTTCCATCTGTAACTAAGTAGAAGATTGATGAAGGAAATAAAAGTATAGGCAGCAGTAGTGAAAAAATCAGAAAAGAAAGAGGGAGAAGTAATCAAAATCAGTTTTAATTTTAAAACTTTTGTTCTTAGTACATTTTTCTTCTTTAGGATCATGTAAGAAAATACACACACAATTGCTACAGCTACTGGGGGGAAAGATGAATTATTTTATAAGCTCTCTTCTACTTTCCATTTAGGAGTAAATTTTTGATACTTTGCCCAAAAACCGATGTAATGCCTTTCCATGGGAATGTTGCAATGATGGATCAATTGTGATCCCTGCCACAAAAAGAAGAACACTTTCTTTGCCAAATCTGATCTTTTAAAAAGCAATTTTTTAAGGCTAAAACTCAAGGATACCTTTCTAAAATAAAGCTCTAAGGTTGTATTTTTAAAGCAAACATCCTTAAGGTAAATAAAATGCACTTGCATTTTAGGCTGAATTTTGTTAGCACTTACTTGGGAGTAAGCCCCATTGGACACAGTGGAACTTCTGAAAAAACATGGGCCACATGTCAGTTTATCTCAGTTAATCTTCCAATTTCATTTTACCATCTCGAAAATGTACAAGTGTGTATAACATTCTCATCCTCCAAAAGAGCATAGAGATTGGAGAATGCAATATTACAATGTTTATCACTGGTAATATGGAAAACAAAATGATATTATGAAAAACTGAAGTATGTGTGTATAAGATAACAGTTTTATAACATTTAAAAGAATTGCAGAAAATAGAAACACAAATGAACGCATACATGCACACACATAAATATATAATATAATATATAATATAATATAATATAATATAATATAATATAATATAATATAATAATATCAAATATTTATTCCTGTCAACTAACCATTAAAACATATATATTAGTTACATATATCGTGGTACCTTGGTTTAAGAACAGCTTAGTTAATGAACAACTTGGATTAAGAACGCTGCAAACCCAGAAGTAGGTGTTTTGGTATGTGAAGTTTGCCTTGGAAGCAGACCATGTTCCGCTTCCTATTGAGTGTGTTCCATTTGTAAATTGAGTCCCTCACTGCTATGGGAAAGCACACCTTGGTTTAAGAACATTTTGGTTTAAGAACGGACTTCCGGAACGGATTAAGTTTGTAAACCAAGGTACCACCGTACACAGATATATCCATAAATTATATTCAACATATGGTTTATGCAACTAATTACATAATTGTTTAATTTATTTCCAGAATATGTGAAGTGCAGTATAAAGAAGTCCTGCCTTTTCTCTGTTCTCAGTCTCCGGTCAATTACTTCCACTGGATGACCCTGAGTAGCCCTGGACCCTTGTTTGTGGAGATCCCTCTTTTGTGCTTCACAGTAGGGCAACCAAGTGGAACACTGAGTTGCTGGGTCAGGGTGGCACACAAGACTGACTCCTTCACCATGCCCATGCTGACTTATTCCTCCCTCCCTGTCCACTGGTTGGCTAGGGAATAAGACCCGACTTGGTGAACCAGAAGAGAAATGTTTCCTTCATGGCCTGCACATGGCTTATTTAATGGGAAACCTGGCTGGGAGCCAGCTGATTGTCTCCTTGCCTGCCTTCCCACCCTCTAGATTTGATTCTCTCAACATTGCACATCTGTTCCTATCCTTATACATTGCTATGGACTTTGTGTTAGCTCTCAGTCAACAGAGGTCAGAAATAATTTTACCCAGGGGCCCAACTGGCCACCTGAGGGCCAACATTTTTCTCTTATCTCATAGCAATTGTTCCCTTTCCTTTGGGGGCTACCACAATAGTTCATGCCAAAATTTATGTTGCTCTATATATCCCAGTGCTATTGGGTAGGAGCAGAGTGGGGCAGACACCCCATCAGGGCCATGGGTATTGCAGCAGCTCATTACTTGGGACTAGTGTGCAAGTTGTCAGGGCAAGGATGCAGGTCATGTGAACAGCTCAGTCATGGGGTGACCTGCATTGTCCTCCTTCCAGATTCATTTCATACAGCAGGTTGTCTGAATATGGGTCCTGGCATGCATTTATGCCATTACTTTCTGCAAGCTTTATCCATGAACAGTTGTGGCCTGTTTGACTCCATCTGCTTGTCTCCTTCTCTTGCCTCCACTCCCTCCTGTGAGCACAACCAGTAATATGATGGAGAGGAGAACTTGTGAGACGTTGAACCTGTGCCCTTCATATGTTGTTGGACCACAACTTCCATCATCCATGGCTTTCCATCATCCAGTAGCCTTGCTGGCTGAGACTGATGGGAGTTGGAGTCACAACATCTGGAGGGCCACACACTGTGCCTACACTTTTGAGTGGTTGGAAAATGTGCCTACTTTCTGAGCTCTAAAAAGGACAAATCCACTTGTTTCTCTTAAAGCTATTCTAAAATAGCCCTTCTACCAAGCACAACACAGCTCCAAAACAATTTGTTTCCCATTAGAGTATTTCTAAAATTCATTGCAGAGTTTTTTCCAGTGACGTCCTTGATCAGTGGAGAGGCATGGTTTTCATAACAGAAACACAAACATGTTTATAAAACTATTCTTGGCAGTACTGTTCTGATATACCTAGCTGAGTAATCACAGCACATGTAGAGTGTAGGGAGAAGCAGGGACAACCTAAGAATGAGGCTTCTTTCATTTTCCCAGGCTGCTTAGAACAAGTCCTATAATTGGGTGGGTACTCCCTAAGTAGGAGGTCATGACAGGTGGCTTTTTGAAATTCAAAGTCTTGAAGGGAGTGTTAATTGTTTCCTTATTTATATATTTTTAATTTGCTCTGTCCTACCCTAGCCCATCCAAAA